TTTGGTATTAATAAAATTTTCTATTTTTACAAATGTTTATACGTTTATTTGCAATACAGTATTTATAATTATAGATACGTTAGCAGACTTACAATTACTTAATAATTTAATTATAAAAATATTTGGAGCTTCAATTAATAGATAAAAAATTCCATTAAAAATTGTTCTGAACATATATTTTATAAATAAATAGAAAATAATACAGCTCATTTATAATGAATACTGGTAGTACATAAGATTGAGATCATACTCCCTTTTATTTATAAAATATCTTTTATATTAATTCATTATATGTAAGATTTAGATTTTACTGCATCGAAAGCAATTACAAATAAAATAAAATTCGTACGCATATAAAACCTGCAAATAAAATGATCGAAAAATTGCTTCGTTAATAAATAACGAAACGCACAAAATTTCTGGTACTGGTTCAACTATTATAAGATCTGATTAAAAATTCTACTTTAAGCTTCGAAGTATTCTTCACTGTCGTACCTTATTTCGTTGTATTTTAAGTAAAAATCTTAAAAATGATGGACGGAAAGAGTTATTAGTAATACTTGCACAGTAATGCGTTGTACAAAATAATATAAAAATGTAAAAGAAAGATCTATAATAAAAAAGATCAGAAAAAACACAAGATCTTGTATATACTAAATTACGTGCAGTGGTAACTATATGGAGTACATCAAGATAGAGCTTGAAAATACTTAGCAAGATAATTAAGTGAAGTACATAAGACCATATAAATGCAATAAAAGTATGAACACTCGTTGGTTAATGATACTCATTTAACTCTAATTCCGGGACATACGGTTCTGTGATTGCAGTTATCGGACAAATGCTTAACGTTTCCTGAAAATCAAAAGCAGAATAGTTTAGAATGATACGAAGTATTTAATCTATAATATTGAACATGAAAAATTATATTTACCAATCTTGTTAATTCCGCGACCGTTGGTCTTTCCTGAATTTCTGTGCTCCAACAAGACGACATAACTTCGTAAAGCGGATCAGGAGTATCGGGTAGTTGGGGCAATCTAACTCCTCTTTCGACTGCCTCTTCCACGTCGCTTTCGAGAGAAATACACGAGTACGGTGTACCACCCATGCTAAGCATCTCCCATAAAAGTACACCAAAAGCCCAGACCACTGCAGGCTGTTGCCTCTTCTTATTATTGAAACTCTCAATGGATGTCCATCGAGCGTATTTGATATCCTCTAAAGAATATTTAGATATGCCATGACCCATCACTTTGGGTATCCAATTACTTGTAACACCTACGCTGCGCGCACAAAGATATTCGTGAACGATTTTATAATTTTCGAGATGCTGCAAAGCAGACGCTATCATAGATCCTATAGATAGGATTTGATTGGTAGGGAACGTATTCCCTGATCTAGCGATTAACAGACGACTTTTTAATGTTTGAGGTGGCAATTCGAGAACGACGTGTAACGTGTCGAAAGTCTCATACGTTCCCACAAGATCTGCGAGATACATCATGGGAGATGCCCTGATACAAGCATCTAATTCTCTCAGCATATGTCTTTTGTCTGATGATTTTAATAACTTATCAGCTATGCTGTGAACAGCTACAGCAGAGGACTTGCCATTCTTTTCGACCACACCCGTGTACACCGTACCAAATCGTCCTCGACGAATTACAGTGTCATTGATTGTCATTGCGTTTTGTGGTATAATCCACACTTTTTTCTTCAGCTCTTGATAATGATTCACTCTCTCAGGTACATCTTCGGGAATATACGCTAAATTATCGACTTCGTACAACGGACCCTGTAACGTAAGCTCCTGCTGTTCCGGAAGTTTTCTCATACGAATCTTTTCATGACGTTGTCGCAATACAAAATATACCACTATCGAAGCTACGAGCAAAGCACCTAAAAGTCCAATCGCGATGCAGAGTATAACCGTCGTCAAATTTGTACTGTTCTTTTTAGCATCGTCATAGATCATTAACTTGTTAATTAAGTTCGAATAAGCATATTGCGTCTGCCTCTGAAATCTTGAAACCACTGCCAAGCCTATTTGCGGCAACACTCGAGTATCCAAAGGTGCATTGTAGTAACTACCAATCATGTTTCCACTTCCCACAACGAATTTTTTATATTTATGAAATTCGGAGGATTCAAACTCTCCAGTAATATAATATCCTAAACCTTGTTCCACTGATTCTTTATAATTATAATAGGCCACGTTCGGACCCATTAGAGGTATTATACCAGATTGAACGACAAATACTTGGTATGCACTAACTGGACCGAACTCACTGTGTCCTTCTGATAACGTGACAGTCACAGTGGTGCTTGTTTGTTCTACAACTTTTGGTATCATCGGTTTCTCAGGTGGGCCTATTAAGGTCCATCCCAAAATATGTATTGGTTCACTGTCCGCTTGAACATTTGTAGCAACGATGGATATATTATATTTGGTTCCTGGTTGCAAGCCTTGTAACATAGTACTGTTTGAAGTTCCTCCTTGTATTTGGCTCTCCACAGCTGGTATCGGGTTTGAAGCAAAAGTTTGAACAACCATAGCTTTCAAAGTATAAGACGTGATATTCCCATTGCTAATATCAGGTGGTTCCCAAGTAATATGTAAACTGTCAGACCCGCTGTGAACTATTTGGGCACTTCTTGGTGGACTAGGACCTAAATCATACATATTAGAGATAAAATAAGTACTAACGAGCAGAATGATTCTTGATAAGCATACCTTTGTATCCAGTGGAATAAATGCTCATTGCATCCTGGCTGCCACAATAGTTACTTGGATCGGTAAGGCAAGGAGTTTTGCAAGAATCAGATATACCTTTTCTACCATATCTACTACCACAAAAGCATTGTTGACCATTCATCAATCCCGCAAACCTATTGGTATCAATCAAAGATTATTGTTTTAAGTAAAAGTGAAAGATGTTAAATGTTATGGTCATGACGATGATTATAAACTTACATGTAATAACGCGAACGACATTCGTTAATACATTTCGCTGGGACATCAGCATGACTTAGAATTAGAGTTGGTAAATCGGGATCCAGCGCGGAACTTTGGAAACATCCCTCGTATTTTTGACTAAATGCATAGTCACCAAAATAAAAAAGCAGCAGTAACAGTATCATTATCTATATAGTAATAATCTTCAAGTACACTTTCGACTCAGCTTTTATTTCTATCACTAATATTAAAATTTAAGTACAATTTATCAGTCTAACATTCTTTCGGAATAGTTTACATCTGAGTCAATATATAAATGTGTCATTATACTCCGAACGAATAACCAGGGTCAATCACGCATCGATCTTTGTTAGCTTTTATTAAAAACGTGAAAAAATATCCCTGATCGTTTATCATGTTCATTATTATTAACGATTTATGCAGGTATTTATACGAAATACGTGGATATCAAATTCACATGATACTTTGCGGGTGTGGTAGCATTATGACTAATCGAAAGCAGACGAATCTCTTCAATGAGATCTCGTTTATTAGAAATAAAATCCGGTACATGTGATAGCAGGAGAATGCAGTTGACTTAATTAACGATATGCAACTATACAACTATATAAATGAGCGAATCAATTGTTTTAATTCGTTCGTTTTGCAATTAAACTTTTAGATCTCGAAAGAATCTCGCGACGCTACCTTACGTCAAAAATCTCGACTAATTATGCATTTTCAAAACGAGAAATACGAAGTTCTTTACTTCTGAGGAAATCATATCTTTCATTAATTATTTAAACATTATATCTTTGCCCCTCTTAGTTTTTGTCTAAGTCTAGGCATGGTCAAAGTCTAGGTTCATCACCTTAGATCAATTTTTATTAAAGATTTATTCTTATTAATATTCAGAGAATGAAACAAACTTCAGCCAAGGAAACTACTCCATATACTTTGTTTTATATCTTTACGAATATACAATAATTTAGAAAATTAATTGTTACATGTAATTATGTAAAATGTAATCACATTCTATACTTGACACGTGTGTATATTATTTTCCATTCTTTATTCTTTATTATTCGCTTACACCTAATTATAGTGCAGTATAAATCAGTAAGTAAATTCTGTCATGTTCCCTTCCTAAGAATTCTTTAATAGTATTTCAAGAGTCTTATACTGCAGTGTTGTTAACAAATATCTAGGCATTGCTCAGATGAATGTAATAAATACTTGTACACACAATTGTTAATACTAATATGCTGATGATACTTATAACTAAAAATCTAGAAAATATTATCCAGTATTGAAAGCTTATAATATATTGTAAACCCTCGAATGATGCGACGACGTGGTGAAGAATTACAAATGCATGTGTATATTCATTTGATTACAATGTGGTTTTAAGTCTTTTAACAACACTGCTTTTGTGGCACAGGTACCCATAACTTAAAAGAAAAATACAAATAAGTTATCACAAATTTACTGTAAACGAAACGTCGCTTTTCCATCTATACATGGCTCTTATACGTGTAATAATATGTATATATGTACAATTATCGGTTCTGTTTTGTGTAGCAATATTAGATCTCAATAATCAATACGAACTATATCATGTTCATGATGGTGTTACATCAAAATAACTTGAGACAGTATTGTATTATGTAAAGCAATATGTTAGAAGCATAAGGATCTCAAAATGTATTTATTCGAACTACGTATGTAAAATCTAAAATTGAATTACTATTCGCTTTGCTACACACGCATCCTTGTTAGTATGCTGTAATTATAATAACAAGCGTAAACTGTTACGTTCTACGTGCCTATCTAAGCACTTGGTGGCTTAATACTGGTCTATTGAGAAGTTATAACAGTTCACGGTTGTGAATTATTTTTACAAGTAACTTTCACTGTTTTTAATTACGTTACCTCTACTTATCCTATCGACAATATTCATAGTTTCTATGTTAAAATCTGTACTTCGATACTTAGAAAGAAAAAGACATTTAAATCATAATCTCTTCTGTCTATTGTATGAATTACATCTAATTCCCTGATTATAAAAACAAAATATTGCATTATTCATATATAAATTATAATAAAATATTTTACTCACAGTCAGTTGAGAACAGAATATAATTTTTTTAGAGTACAAAAGAAAAAGATAAATATGATTTGAAGCTTACAAGGCTATACACTGTCTTAACAAAGCAAGTTAATTAACATAATGTAAGCAATGTATTGTGCCTTTAACAGTTTCTTCACGAAATGAGCAAACAATTCTTTAAATCATGTGTAATGTTTCTTCGATTTAATGTTCAGATCACATCTTTCGCTATTATGATAAACTACAAAATACTTACATGTTCCGCGCTTCACAGAAGTGTCTAATTTATAATTGCTACGCAGTAATGTAAGCAAATCTCTTTCTCTGCTAGATTGAAATCTTTCAAAATTGCATAATTGTTCTAATCGATCGGCGAAATACCATTTTTAATAATTCATTCGCTATATAGTTATTAAAAAAAACTTATATTAATTATACAGTGTTCTTTATACGACAAATCATGATAATAAAGCAGTCTTACAAAAATTGATGCACTAATCACGCACATCTTTGTCCAAAGGCTTTCCTAGTAAATGAAATTTTGTCCTTTAAACAGGAACATCGAGAGTATACTCTTATGAAATCTAGATAAACTAATAGGGAATAATACTTAATTATATATTCCTTATTTCAATAACTTGGTGGTTCAAATGTCCAAGGAATGAAGACTTGTAGTATTTCAAGAAGATCATTGCATTCGCATCTACGCGCATTTTCTCTTCTTGTTGAGATGCATATGTTTGAAGGAATCCTTCTCCTCGTCTCCTGATAAATTTAGAAGTTGATTAAAGCAACAGTCATCAATCGAAACATCACGCTGATTGAAAATCTACGTGTGATACGGCAAGTTAAAGCATCTTACGTTTTGATTTCGCTACTCGGGAACGGGTTAACCGAGTAGAATTTCTCGATTCCGGAAGAGTTGTCTGGGAAGTCTTCTTTTTCAATGGAACTACTTGTTCTACAGCTGGCGTTACCCATTTTGTCTTAACATCGCTGTGTGTACAAAATCGTATTTCATATATTTCATTCTTATTATCTCAAAGTACAAAAAATTCCATCAACGTATACTTACTCTGTTGATTTGGATAATGTCTTATGTCTAAATGCTTGTTTCTCTTTCATCCTTTGAATCACGTTCAGCATAGCGTATGTAGGCAGGGATGGAGGTGGTGGAGACGGAGTTGGTGCGAGTGACGAGGGCCGAGACTGTACATTAACTTTCGCGAGTTTATCCGGATGAACCGCTAATACTGCTTCCCAACAAAATTCTTTCGGTTCAGCTGTAACCTTAGGTTGCATGTTCCGGGTGATGCGTATCTGAAATCAATAATACTCGTTATATAATGGTATAAGTTAAAGTTTAACGTAAAATGTAAAAGATTACCTCGCCATTAACAGGTCTGCAAGGCTTTCTCTCTCTTAAGTATGGTCGTTTTAAGCATATGGGATAAGAAATATTTTCGTTAGATTCTTTTAGATAATATAAACAAGTAGGAACGTCATTTTTTTGTTTCGAATAAGATTGGAATAAACTACGTAGATAGGAATACTTGGGTTTAGTTTCAAATCCCATTTCAGTGATGTACTTCATGTATTCAACGATGGCAGCTAGAGAAACATAGTTATTAGTAAATAATTACTTTTTACGTGAAAGACATAAAATTGTAATCAATTTACCAGGCGGCTTTGTTTCATACGCGAAACATTTCTCCATGAACAATGGTAAATCTGCGAGAAATCTTTCTTTCTGTGCGTGGATTTCTTCTGGATTCAGTGTCAGTGGCAGATTATCATCATTTTCCCAAGGTAATTTTCCACACAACCATTGCAACATATTGTATCCTAAGGTTTCTAAATCACCTCTTCTTGAATGTGCTGTAACATCAACTCGTGGTAAAATAGATGTACGACACAACGATACATGAAATATGTATGAAATTGATAGAACTCACTTCCATGATGTGCATCTCTGGATGTGAATTCTAATGTACCCTCGTGTGCTCTTCTCTCATCGTGAACAAACGGCTTATGTACACCTGCTGCCGTACGGAAGCGGTAAGCCAATCCATAATCAACTAAATACGCTTGAGATTTCTTTTTAACTACACTCCCCTCGTTTAAAGATAACAAAATATTTGATCCTTTAATGTCTGCGTGAGCGTATCCTTGACTATGAATGTATTCTAGTGCGTCTAACTATAAAACGTATAGTACCAAATCGTTAATATTGTGTGTGTTACATTTACATACAGATTACTATAATTATTTGAAAATAAACACCATTTGAACAGCTAGCCTGTTAACAAGTTTCATTGGCAATTTCCTCCCACTTGATACAAACAATTTTCCGATATCGATGCCATATCGTGGAATCACTAAGAATCTATATTTTTCACTGTTGTATACGAGAGAGCCTGATCCTTCGTACGTCGGGACTCCTATTCGTTTCTTCCCTTGCGATTTACACCAGCTTTCAACTAAATATGATAATCACGATGCAAGATATGAATGATATATAGAAATTATTTATCAGAATTAAACGTAAATTACTCACTCATATGTTTGCGAGCTGCTCTTATATAAAAATTCATTTCAACAAACAGCGGACCATTATTATGTGGTTCTATTTTTATCACGTACTTCGCATCTTCTCCAACTGGTACTCCGATGTTATTGGATGCTACAAAACAAAAAACCAATAATATTACTGAGATCTACCTTTTTTTAAAACTAATTTCTTAAAATGCTTGAATTATACCTAAGTATATATCACCAAATCCACCGTATCCTATTGTATGGCCAATCTTCCATTTGTTCTGCGTGATGTCTGTTAATATTAATCCGGGTGGTAATCGTTCAGGTAATTTACACCCTGATGCTGCTCTTCTAACAGGTACTTCTTCAACTCGTCTCGGTGCCATTATAACTATATATAACAATTTTTTATAAACATTAACTCACATATGCTATTATAATTATTTATTACAAGTAGAAGGTAATCTCTTAAGATACATTTGTTAATGTTTTATTCGATTTTGTTACATATAAATCGTACAAACAAAAAACACATGAATTACTTTGATGTAATTATTTATTGTAGCAAAGAAAGAGAGTACATTTGAGATAATATTTAATACTATAGGTAACAGTTATTTGTTAACATTCTTTCTATTCAGGTTCAATAGATACCATTCAGTAATAAGATGATGTTTCTAGTATTAACGAGATATATATTCGATTAAATGAAGTAAAAGGTTGAAAGTAAGTAATGGTTGAACTGAAAAGTTGATGTATACACGTATATACACACATTGTTGTTTCTAGAAAAATATGTACAAATATGCTGCATATATTAGAATACTTAAAAGGATGATATCATTCTTTTGTGTATATTTAAAGAACAGAGACATAGTTTAAAAGATGTCATTGTACATTACAATGCCTCTAAGTTTTTACACTGCAGTGGTAAAACAATTTATTTGTAAGTGACGTATACTGTAAACAATTTGATTTCACATTTTATATAAACGTTCATAATTCTTTAATTAAATGAATGTGATGCACTTTACTACAGCATTACAATACAGAATAAGTAGTAGAACTACGAAAAATGTATGTTACTGTATAATAAGCACTATTGATGTAACAGAAAATGCATTGCTTACATTCTACTTAAGAGATGTGTTTAACAAATATAAATTACGTAAATGCCATTGTAAAAGTGATAAAAATGATCTCCTGTGCTTTTACGGAAACCTAAGTGTAGTTAATTACTCTGCTTTCTTGACTAATTCTCTCTCCACGCATAAAATAGACGAAAAATCTACGTTTAAGGATCCTTTGTTGAACTGTCAACTAAAATAGTTAACCAGTAATAAAAAGCGCAGAATATTTTCTACATTTTAGCTCAGGTGTACCTCAGAGGATAAATTAGAAGTCATGACATACAGTCACGTTAATTGTTTCACACATAGGTATCTTCGGCAATTTAAAACAGCCCTTTTTTATGTTGTTAAACATTAACTTGTTCCCCAAAACTATCCACTTCACCTAATTTAAGAATGCATCACACTTGATCACACTGCCATTTCATGAACTAAGGAGTTTAACGGAAACTGATCGACTCAAGAGAGTGTTCTTAAACTGACACTTTCCGGTTTGCTATTTAAAGACACGCTAATTCAATTTAACTTTTATTTTAATACTGTTTTTTATTCTTGGAATTATAAGGATCAATGAACGCTTTTAAACAATTGCTAATGCATAAACTACTGAACTACTCCTTTAATCATGAAACTATTGACATATTTAAACAGATATATGAAATCTGATACAGTAGTGCAGAATTTCAATTATTTAATATTAGTACATTGCTTACTGATAATACTTGATAAAGTTTTGATAAATTTTAGGAAATAAACTGATGAAGAGGATGTATAAGTTTGTGATGAGTTTCCGAATGCCTGGGATCTGTAATATCAACCTAAGTATATCAACCCATAGCCTTTTAGCTCTGTAGAGCAGCGCGTGATGGCGGTGAGGCAGTAATGAACGAGGCGAAGGAGATTGCTGTAAGCGAAGATTCGTGAAAGTGGAAGTTCCAATTTATGCGTGCATTTAGTAGAATTTCTCGTGATCCTGTGGTTTCAATATAATGACGTGAAGAATTTTCGAACGATGATTGATGCTTCATTTCTATTCTCAAATATATTATGTAAGTACAAGTTCGTGTTTCATCGCTAAAATCGTTTGTAATGGTTAGAATGCCAAAGCATCCATTAATGTCTCGTCTGATATCTATAACTACTGTTGCGAAAAACATGTTTTTATACAGCGAAATTTATCTATTGTATCCGTGCACACATATAAACTCGACAAAAATTCCTTCTTTTTATTGTAATAATTAGCGCGATATTAAACTGACGTCTTTCTTCTGTGAAAATACATGCTTATTACTTAGGGCTATCATTTAATAAAGATTGTTCGACGACAGTATTAAAAATACTTGATGCATTTATACTTCTCGAACAAATCGAATTACACTTTTCACAGATCGCTTCTGATAAATTAACGTATTTCATGTTTCAGTGAGGACACTGCCGTAGTATTATTTAAATATTAAGAAATGTCTTACCCTGGTCAACCTCCGATGGGAATACCGGGCATGCCACCAATGCCTTACATGGTTGGTGCACCACCACCAATTATTGGTGGTGTAATGCCTATGGCACACGTAAGTATAAATAACAATGATAAACTTTGATTTTAACTAGTATTTTAGCATGTTCGTTTGTGGTTTCGATGAATTTATCAATTTTTCATTTAATACATGTTTTTAGCAAAAGAAATATTATTTTGTCAATTAAATCTTTCAAATAAAATACCTGTAAAGATCCTCAGATATTTGTAACATTGCAAATTACATGCACTATTAAGTATTAATATTTTTCGTTCGTCTGAAACTTCGGAAATCCTTTAGTCATATCAAACAGAAATTATAAGACAAAAGCATGTAATGTTGTGCAAGAAGTTAATATTTTTTAACTGTAGATTACACCAAGTTATAGCCCACCTTAGTACCGTTAACTGCTATTAATTATATTATAATTACACATTTTTTCTAAATGCTAATGCTTTTGTTTTCTATAACGTATTAATATCGTGTATTAAATATCGTGTACGTATTTATGTTACAATATTTAAATGGAATGTTCATTGCTTTACTATTTTCATTATAGAATTAAACAATTTTCTAAGAATTTTCACATGAACTTTTATTTGAAGTTATTCCTATCTTATATTTGCATGACTGATTTTTGCAATCGGAAATAATAAAGAAAAGAGAAAGATTACAATGCTATTAGGGGAGGGGAGACTCTGGACTGCATGAGTAGAGATGTGCATTATTAAGAACACTACCATTTATAAAACATAGATGATTCCAACACCCGTATCTGCGATGCAGACCTCAGCTCCAGCTGTTCGGTACGCGCGTAACCAGAATCGCCACGACAATAACCGTCGTCGTGAAAGAGAATCTGGACCGCCGGTCACCGTGTTTATCGGTAATATTATGGAAAGAGCACCTGACGTAATGATCCGACATATCCTGGGAGCGTGTGGACATGTGCTCTCATGGAAGAGAGTTCAAGCATTCGGATTTTGCGAATATGCAGGTCCGGATGCTGGTCTCAGGGCAGTTAGATTACTCCATGATATGGAGATAGGCACGAAAAAGCTTGTTGTGAAGGTTGACGCAAAAGCTAAAGTGGTCTTGGATCAGTTTAAAGGTAATCAACGACCTGATTAAACTTTTATACATGTGTATTGATAACTCGACGTGATCTGTTATCTTTTCGTTTTTCAGCGGAAAGAAGAAAAAAATTAAGAGGAGGCCAGTCACCTTTACAAGACGAAACGTCCACCGAGGGAGCAGATGGAGAAGAAGGTGAAGATTACATGGACGAGGGCATGAGAGTCGTGGATGCGGATGCGTTAGCTCGTATTAATCAAATCATAGCGGAACATGCTATTGATCTCGAAATGGCTCAAGCTGCTCCAGGTAATAAATCAATTTTATTTATCATCGTATATATAATTAAACTGTATAATTATTAGCCGTTTCTCTGTGGCGTGTTATAGAGGAACATCAAACGAAAATGGTTGCAAAATCATTGAACTTGGACGATGCGGAAATAGAAGAAAGTAAGCGCGACTTGATTACCCGAGAAATTGGCAAATTCAGGGAGGTCATGAAGGTAATTATTTTTACGATCACTTTCAAGTTCTTCTTATACCGCTCCTATTTTTCTGCCCTTCTTTCTTTTTGGTCATATTGTCGGATGTGATATACCAAAATATTCGAAGGTACTATAAATTATGGTTTAATAAGATCGGATCAAAGATTTGCAAAAATGTCGGTCTGCAGAAATTAACGAATACCATCAAATTTTTATTGTTAATCATGTGAATCTTTTTTACGGAGCATTATAAACAATTTTGCAAGATGTTAACACTAATTTTTGTTACATGTTCTGTGTATATAGTATACCAAGCATTTCTATTTCTTTTTAAATTTGATCATTAAAGTATCGTATGTGTCAAATTAATATATATTTTATTAATTTATTAATTCTTTCGTAGATGTATTATTTATTTCTATTTCGAGCGAATACGATTAAGAATGTGTTCATAACACTCTGTAGTATTGTTAGAATATTTTGTATTTAATATTTTTGTTTGTCCTTTAAATAACAAAGTAAAATAAATTTTTGACAAATTGACAAATTTAAGTTCAGCTGATTTGATATTTTTATTGAATTTGTATATAACACGAACAATTCAGACATTTCTACAATTCAAGCAACATAATAAAATGCATTTTAAATATGAGTTGAAAATATTTGATGCATTTGATTATATTTACGAATCACGTTAGATGATTGTTGATCCAACAACTCACAGTCGTATCTGGAAAGTTAATTGATGGATTTGGGGCAGGCAAAAGGGGATTAACAAGTGTATAGTTAGTAAAATTTAGTATTTAAGTTATTTTGTGATAAAGTGCGTGTGTGCTATGTTAGCTCTAAACAATTGGAGCCGTGACTCGTTGCTATAATTATAATAACAGGCAGCGTGCGTCGCACACAGCAAACGCACACGCCTAGGAATGCTGTGTGTGGGGACCACTCTTTCACTCACTCATTGGCTCTGAAGGGAGTCAATCACAGCACAACCCTCGTATTTTCGCAGGCAGCTGCAGCCTCGCCGGTAAGTCAGAGTATACAACCAACCAAAACATGAAAAAACGAAAGATAAAACAAGAAACGTGAATATTAAAACAGGAGAATCTTGTAACTCCACAAGATGGTGACAATAATTCTGTTTCTATTGGAACTCCAATTTTCTCAATTCGTCCGCATATAATTCTGCGTTATATTAATAGCATTGCCGTCGTATTTTCGATATAAGTTATTCGCGCAATCAAATTTCTTTATCCGCTTTTACATATACTTGTTGTGCTAGACTGCTAGAACTATAATATAAAAAAACTTGATGTTCTCGATGGAGTTTAAAAGATTCAACAAGCCTTTGCAATCTTGATCTTCATGTTTGGGCCAAAGTCTAGCAGTCTAGTACATAGAAGATTTGTAAAGTGTCGTTCGAAATGATTTTTACGCACTGCCTAGGATTGGTAAAATGAATATAATTTTGAGCAAAGAAATTTGACGCTGACATCTTCTATAATATAATTCTTAGATAGATTATTAATAGGATCGAGACATTCTGAATCCTACACACAATTGAAATGATTTTGTCTCACAATGGCGACTGTTCAGTTGTTGTCTTTATTTTGTGTAAACAGCTTCTGTCAGCGTCTCGATCAGACATGTAGTACCTAGGTGCGCGCTCCTCCATTCTCCGGTACCACCACACTGACTGACCAAGTCAACTTCACACCGTGAGTAAACTCCACAACCATGAGCCAACACAACCATTCGGTTCTTGTAGTTTTTGTTAGTGAACTGCCCATCTGGATATATACCTATGATTCACTGATATATTTCATGTTTCAACAGTCTGTTTTTTCCTCATAAGTGCATCTACTTTTATGCACTCAGCTACTCTTATTAGTTTAAAAGAATATATGGGTTACTGTATGGACATCTAATCTTGGGAAATAAAGAAAAGCAATTCGCTTTGGACATGCTTTCTCTTATATGCTCTTCGTTAATGTCTTTGCACAAACCGTATCGACAATTGTCAAGCAGGAAGAGAGATATAACAATGATATTATAGCGATATTAGAGTCTGGTGTTCAAGACTCTCCAGGCAGTAACCCATGATAATGTTACTATTATATCAGATAAGGATGAACCATACTAATTTATTTCTAAGACGTTACGTTTGGTAATACGGGACGATAAAGGGTGGGCAAACTATTGTGCATTTGATATCCAACAGTTTGCTGCATCAGCTGCAAAGCCAGAAGAAAACAAAGTTGACAGACGTGTGACAGTTTCTTGGCAAATGTGAAAGATGTTTTGGTGGAATCCCTTCTTCATGATGACTCTCCGCTTCTGATTGGTATAATACTTTCTAATAATTATTGAGTATTGATCAAGAAAAAAATCTAAAGTATTTCACCCCTTTCGAACTCTTTAGATTACATAGATAGTTTTAGACACTATTGATTTACAGGCACATTTGCAATGTTGTAAGTACATTGGGTGGCCTCTACCGACGCGTCTGTTAGCATTAAGGTATTCTTAATTTAAGTAGAGCTTAAGAAAATCTCTTATGCTTGTTTTTCCATACAATTTATACCTGCACTTAGGTAATTGATATGTAAACAAGATTTCGTGTAAGATGCTGCTGACCGAGCATGCTCCAGTGGAGTGAGTATACTACATTGAGATGAACAGAATTATGATACTTGACATGTGATTAATTCTTGTGCAACTAGTAATCGTTCAACTTTGTAAGACGTTGAATTAGCTATATAAAATTTAAACG